CCTAATGGAGAAATGTTAAAATACTGGAATAACTAACTAAAAAATGAATTAAATTTTCCTGGTCTGTCATATTCAACAATATATATATATATATATATATATATATATATATATATATATTATATTTTTATAATATATATATATTATATATATATAAAGGATAGCCTGAGTTGTGTCTCAAGTTTCATGCTAACATGATCTTCAGACAGTTAGAATGTAACTGAAAGAAAGGCTGTTTTTGACAGACATTAGTGGAAATTGAGTGGAGTAGTACATTTATCTTGTGCAAAAGTGGATAATTTAGAGTGGCATCTTTAAATTGCTGGTTAAGAAAAAAATTTTGAACTTGTGAGAATGATTCATTTCAGCCTTGCCAAAGTTAAGGTTGAATAGTTTGTTTTTTTTATTACTTTGCTAAAAACAGTTTAGGATTGACAGATGGGTAATGGTTAGTGGCTCAGAACAAAATATTGGCAAGTCATTCAAATTCTTGTCAAGATTATTACATTTCCTTTTGTGCAAATACACTTGGCAAAGTTATGAATCTATCTTATCTCCCTCATTTAAGGGCCAAATAGTAGGGCTGTGTTCTTCAGCCTTGGTTGCCAATGAGTACAGGAGAAGAAAAACTCTGACTTACCAAAGCCAGATAGATGGAAATTGTTAACATGAGAACATGTGGTTGTCTAAAGGAAGGAAAAACCTGACAGAAAACCAAACCTCAGCCTACATATGTTGGGCATAGGACCAATTACCCCACCCTGTGAAAGAATAATTTAATTACTGAAACCTTACCAAGAAGCCTTACATGCCATAAAGCACCAAACAGATAACACAACTAAAAACCACTTAACTTGGCTAGGGAATATATACTAATTCTTTTTTTTTTATTTTTTAGTTCTTCATATTTTTGCATCTTCCTGCCATTAGATGATAGAAAGTAAAATTCTTCAGCATTGTCAGAATATTTGTTTTTAACATTTCATCCCAAGGAAGGCAATAAAGGCACTAAGATGCAAGTGATTACTGTGTAAGAGAGAATATGAGAAAAAAACAAAACACTATTAATGAGAGAGAACAATAAAAGAATAAGAATTAAGAATACAGAAGATAATAATTGACATTGCATTTAGATTTTTGAAAATCAAAGTTGACTGAGAAGCAAGAATTTGGAAGAGAATTCCAGAAGTCAGGAGTGCAATAGAAGAAACTGTTAGCATAGACCTTATGGTTACATCTAGCCATTTCTATTGTTAATTGATGAGACCTTGCCGCCAACCTATTATTGAAATAACAAAATATTTAAAATATTTTGTTATTTTTCATTTTTCTTACTGTATTTTTTTCAATTAGTTCACTTATTCTGCCATATTAATCTTAGAGGTGTGAGACATACAAGCACAATTTTATATATATCCTAGTTGGCATCTGCTCACATCCAAGCATCGAGATCATTATCCTCTTTTCCTTTCTCCCCTCTGGTGATGCTGTTCATGAAGAATCATCAGCAGGAGTCATAGAGGCGTGTGGGTGGAAGGCTCTGCTGACAGCACATCACATATCCTCTTCATGTTGATTGTTAAACTTTCAGTCACTCCTTGAATTGTCCTATGTCAGGAAGGCTGATTTGCAGTAATGTTTTCCTAGGTTTCAGGGTCAATGTTGGCCTATGTCAAGGATGTCTTCAACTTGAAGTGTTGTTTTAGACCTCCATGTAGCCTCTTGCTGCTGGCAAGTTCTCCAAACAGGATGATATGTGGGAGTTGACTGGGACAGATTCTGGACACATGACCCACCCATTTAAATCATTATTCTTCCTCAAGAACTTCTAATTAGAAAATTAGTTATGAGCATAAGTCAAAAATTATCCACAACTTTTGTCATAACATAACTTTAGACAAGAATGAGGGTATTCTTGACTTTCCTTCATATATTTCTGTATTGTGTCCTTCTTGGGATCATTATCAGTGAATACTTCTTTTTATTTGTACCCTTTACATACTGCTTACCTTTTTGCATGTTCAAATTTCTCCAGGTGGGACAATTTGGGAGCATACTACTACATGCTTATCAAGAAGAATTACTTTACATCTCTTGGATCATAGCTCAATTACATCTCTTGGATCATAACTCATAGCTCAATTACATCTCTTGGATCATAGATCAATTACATTTCTTGGATCATAGCTCAATTACATCTCTTGGATCATAGCTCATAGCTTAATTACATCTCTTGGATCATAGCTCAATTACATCTCTTGGATCATAGCTCAATTACAACACCAGGAGAACTCTGTCCACAACATATTTAATAAAATTATGATCATAATAGACTCATCCACAATAAAAAAAAAAACAGTTAAAAATAATGGAAGTGTTAATAATAAAAAAGAAGTCAACACTCAATAATATCAACTATGAACATGGGCACAATGTACTGACCATGTTCATAAAATTAAAAAAACATTCCCATCCCTACAGATACATATATATAAAAATTTATATATAAAAAATTCAGTTAAAAAAAAACAACCTTGATAATGGCAAATAAATTAGGCAAAAGTATTCAGAACCATAGAACATTTGGACAGTTTTTACACATTGCAATGCCTTGACAGTCATTTCCAATGAAAATAGTATAAAAGAGGGACTGCTGCCAAATATATAATTTTAAGGTGTACTATATTTATTGGATAAAGTGCTCAATATCAGGGATAGAGCATATGTAAATATAAACGTGAACACTGAAGTCAACACTCAGAGGCAACAGGTCGTTTCATGCTAGACGCAATCATCGGGTGGTCAAATGATTGCATCTAGCATGAAACAGTCTGTCGCCTCTGAGTGTTGACTTCATTGTCCACTTTTATATTTACATATACTGATATTGAGCACTTTTGTCCCATGAATATAGCATACCTTAAAACTATATTCCTTCATATATATATATATATATATATATATATATATATATATATATATATATATATATATATATATATATATTATGAAATGGACAAAGTCCGACAGTTATTTTAAGACATTTTTATGTTTATACATTCTTTTTATAGATACAAATATTTAAGTAGATGCTCTGTTTATATAAGGTCAATTGTAGTTTAAAAGCAGTAAAATCGACCTTTCTAACCAAACAATCCTCTGTGGCTCAATCGGTTAAGGCATGTCAGTCTATATGATGGTTCCGTATAGGATACAGGTTCAATTTCTGTTGGAGGATGAATATTTTCTATGAAAATTTCTTGGACAATCAGGCCAGTAAATGTTATGAATACTGTTTATTATAAACAGAGCATTTACTTAAATATTTGTATCTATAAAAAGAATATATAAACATAAAAATGTCTTAAAATATATATATATATAAAAGTGAACATTGAAGTCAACACTTAGAGGTGACTAGCTGTTTTTCATGCTAGACGCAATTGTCCCTAACAATTCCGTCTAGCATGAAACAGCCTGTCACCTCTGAGTGTTGACTTCAATGTTCACTTTTATATATATATGTGTGTGTGTTGCATATTAGTATGACTTATACTTGTGTACTTGTGTGTTCTATATAAGTTTTCATGTATAATTGATTTGGGGAATTAATTTCTTTGGGTTATTTTTGTCCTTTTTTTCCATCATATTAAGGTGTTAGTATATCACATATATATTAATGCTTTTAGGGGGTGTTGGAGAGGGAAGAAAACCACCATATTTCCTCTCTCCTTCCATGATGTAATTGTTACAGATTAAATTATTCTGTTCATAAGTGCATTCTCCATGAATATGAGCACAGTCCTATATTGTTTTCATCACAGATGGATGGAAACAAAATAGATGGATTAAATTATTTAATTATAAAACTGAACTAAAATGAAAACTTATTTTTATGTTTAGGGAGAAGAGAATGAATACATGAGTTATTTCATTGTAAAATTAATGTGTTTGGGCAGAAATATAATAATTGATTTTTACATTTGCAAATCCTACTCTTGCCTTAGCGGAAAGCATGGTCCCAATATGTAAAAAAAAGCTTTTATGCTTATTCAATTTAAGATATCTTTATCTATTTTATTACTTCTTCTATTGAAAGTACATGTGACCATAATTGCATTCATAGACAAACAAAATGTTGTCTCTAATAAATGCACCTTTGGGACCAAGTGCAAAAAGTAATTTTAAATTTAAAAAATTCTAATTCAGTGGATTTTTTAATTTTTGAATGTCAATGAAAAAATTTAAAATTGAAAATAGTGACCTAATCAAGTGACCTTTTTTATTACTAAATTTTGACTTTATTTGCTTCTCCTCCCCACTTTTTTTTTTTTTTTTTTGCTAGTCCCTATGAGCATTATTGTCACACTGATGCTGACCCTACCTCTCAGTGTGATGAATGTGCTGTTGTAGATTTGGAATCCCCAGGACCAGATGTTTTCTCCCATCTTAAATGAGGAGAACAGATACCATGCTTTGATCTCAGTCAAAAGGCCAAGAATCATTTATTTACCTGACTTCTCCACTAAGGTGATGTGGCACAAGGTTTGTTTTTTATTTTTTATTTTTTTATTTTTTATTTTTTTATTTTTTTTTACGTAGGATGTCCATACACATGCATATGCATATAGACCAAGGACAAAAAAAGTTACCCGGTACCTACAGCCACTGCCAAACTGTCATTGAAGGGGTTGCCACAGTGTTGTAATCTCCGGGATAGGGTGCCTTTTCCAATCTCAAATGAGGAGAGAAGTAATTATTACCTGATCTCCCCAGTGTGACACAAGAAGATTTTATTTTTAATTTTTTAGTGTCACATTTTTTTTTTTATATTTTTGCTGAATTGTGATGTTTAGTTTCAAAAGCTTTTCTTGTCATAAATGATGGTATGTTCAACAATTCATTCAAACAAAAAGTTGTCGAATAAAAAGTAAAGAAAGACTAAAAAGAGAGAATAAAAACAATAGATTTTCATAATAAATAAAGGAAAGCATACTCACTCACGCCTTTCAGTTAGCACGCGGGCAATAATCGTGGATGTGAATGACTTTGTTAGAGATGCGATAAAAAATTTTGTTTTTGTTGAAGCTTTCTTGGAATTTTCAAAATCTGCAACTCCAAAAGATCGGACGAGCAAAGGGACACCCTTCTGCACAATTGCTACGGAAAGTGCCGGAATTTGCCGACAAGACATCACTCGCATAACAAACCGTTCGAATTCGGCAATCTCAGGTGATGTCTGCACATTATTATTTTTATTGCGACTTTCGTAACTCTTAATGTCTATGTTTTCTGTTTTCCCCTTATTTTTACTGTTTTCGCTTACTTTAATTTTGCCATATTTTTTATATTTTCTCGTCGTTTCACGACGTCGTCTTGGTCTTTTTTCTCTAACTTTATCATTTTTGTTTATTATCGTCGGCAAAGTTGAATTACTAACATGTTCCCTTGGAAACCAAATATGCTCACTTTTGAAAAATTGTCGTCTGCCAACATGATACAGTCTTGGCTTTAATGATCTTGGTGGCATTATATAAGATTCCGTTTTCTGATTAGTAATTTCTTCCGCCTTTGTTTCTGTTTTTTTCGGTAAATAAACTTCTGTCTCCGATACGGTCTTAATTTGGTTCTGGTTGGTAATTTTGTCTTTGTTTACAAAATGTCCTGAGGTTGATTTTACAGGGTTGGCCCATTGACTAGAAATGTTGTTAGTGTTACTGTTATTGTTCTGTGACTCAAATTCGCGAGTTAGTTGTTTTTTTGGAAGTCCTATACCTCTAGACCCAAATAACAAAAAAGTTGGGGAAGGGTCGTAGTAAGGTCCTGGCGTGTCGTTATAGTTAGATGCCATAAAGCTTCGACTATTTTTCGGATGAAGGCCTCCTGTAACTGGATGTAGTAACAAGAGGAGTAGTATCATGAATAGATGGTGTATTAAAAAAAGAAAAGACTGGTGTAGCAGAAAGTGAAAGGTGCTGGACTTACCTTGACTTAATCTCATTGTCAAGGCTTGGAAACTGGAGACACTAAACAACAACAATGATAGTGGTGGTGATGATGATGATGATGATGGGATGATAGCAATTGTAGCAGAACGGAATAAATCTCAAAGAGATAATAAAGAAAGAACAAACGGAAGAAGAATAGTAAAGAAGAAAACGTTATTATATTGAGTGAGTTTGTGAGAGGATGACATGAAAGATGGCAAATAAGAGTGATTAATGAATGAGAGGAAAGAAAGAGAGAAAATAAAAAGGTAAAATTAAATTAGAAAGGGGGACCCAGAGCGTGTACTTGCTGAACTGCCGTAGGAATGGACGGAACGTCGACTGCTATTAAAATATGAAAAGGAGGGGATAGAGATGAGGAAAAGTTGGAGTTAAGAATTATGACTAGGTGGAAATGAAGAAAAGAAACATACAAGGAAAAAAGAATAAAGATCTTGAAAATAGAAATAGTGTTGGATGGATAAACTAAAAACAGGGTGATGATATGAGTTGTAGTCGATATTTTTTAAAGATAAAAATATTTAATTAAAATAACAACAAAAACAAAGACAATATGTTAGTGATCTGTTTAGGTTGGATCCCAAACGAAATGTCCCCTGGAAATTGTGCTTTGCTTTGTGATCTTCTTATTCTTTTTTGATTATTTATAAAATAAATTCATTCCTTCATTATTTGTCTGTTTTATTTTCTGTTATGGTAGTTGCATGCTCATTGTTAGATGAACTGAATGAAATTATTAAATGTTTAGTTTCACATTGCTTCACGAGAGAATGCATTGGTCTTCAGGTGTGTAAAAATATTTTCTTTTTGTTGTTGTTTTTTTAGTATTTTTATTTATTTATTTATTTTATTTATTTTCCAAACTAAAAACTTGTTAATGAAATTAACAAAGACAGATATAGGAAGAAAAGAAATATATTTTTTTAGATAGCAGAACTAAAACAGCTGTGAGGTGAATAGACAAAGTCAATTGATCTAAGAAACAAAAATAAGGAAAAGAAGACACTTATTTTTTAAATCAGCCAGCAGTAACTTAAAGAAGTAGAACAAAGAAACCAATTCTGGAACATATATCATTTTTCAACATTGTTATTAATAATGCTGATGATGATTTCATTTTTATTTTTGTATATTTGGATAAAATAAAATAAAAACACTCACACAAAAAAATTATTGCATGTAGTGAAATTTTAAATTTCTGTTATGCAATTAATTTTAATGTTGAAATATCATTTCCAATATTGGATTTTATTTTAGATTATTTTTTATTAAGTATTTTTAAGAATCAGGATTATTTTAGAAACACGTTTTATGTGAGAATATAAAATCTTATTTAAAATATTAATATTACTAAAATTGTTTTGTTGTACCTTTTTTAATTTTCAATAAATTTCTACAATACAATGCAACTGCAGATAGGTTAGGACAAATGTCTTTGATTTAATTAAGCTTATACCTACAACTTCAGGAGCAGAAACCTATCAGATCTGATTTAAAAGTTTATAGAGATGTTCAGCTATGAATGAAGTCGGTAAAATGCTCTGTGTTCTATAGGATACCTAAAAATCATTAAAAATCCCTGCCATTTAAATAAATTTCATGAAGCGTGATAGTAATAAGCCTTAAATGGCAGGTAACATCAAGACTTATTAATAACATTTAAACAAATTCCATGGCATGTAATATCATTAAGTCTTACATGACAGACATCATGAAGACCTTTTAATAATTCCTGCTCATTTAAACAAATTCTATGGAGTATCATAGCATTAAGCCTTAAAGAGCAGGCATCATCAAGACTTTTCAATAATTCCTGTTTATTTAAACAAATTCTGTGATGTATGATTGCAATAAGCCTTAAATGGCAGGCACCATCAAGATTTTTGATAATGCCTGTTCATTTGGACAAATTCCATGCAATTGCATTGAGCATTAAATTGTAGGCATTATCAAGACTAATTAATAATGCCTGCTCATTTTAAAAAAGTCCATTGACTGTGAAAGCATTTATCATTAAATGGCAGACATGTATGGTGGGTGATTGCCTAAACCCTTTGATCCCTGCATTCCTGAACAATTTTAACCCTTATGCCTGAGCTCCTGAGTTATAATTCACAAATAATTGGTATGTAATATTTCATGTTAAATATAAAAATAGCTAAGAAGAGTTCAACTACCATTCAATCAGGCACTGGGCATTCAGCCATATTTCTCTACCAGCGTTCTACCAGAGACTGGGCATTACATCATTTTCTTTGTTCTTTGGCGTATGATTGCATTAAGCCATAAATGGCAGGCATCATCAAGAAATTACGGCATGTAAACAAATCTTTTGTTCAATGATTGCATTGAGCCATTGGCAGACATCATTGAGACTTTTCAATAATGCCTGCTCATGTAAACAAATTCTTTGTTCTTTGGAGTATGATTGCATTGAGCCATAAATGGCAGACATCATTGAGACTTTTCAATAATGCCTGCTCATGTAAACAAATTCTTTGTTCTTTGGAGTATGATTGCATTAAGCCATAAATGGCAGGCATCATCAAGACTTTTCAATTACGCCTGCTCATGTAAACAAATTCTTTGTTCTTTGGAGTATGATTGCATTGAGCCATAAATGGCAGACATCATCGAGACTTTTCAATTACGCCTGCTCATGTAAACAAATTCTTTGTTCTTTGGAGTATGATTGCATTAAGCCATAAATGGCAGGCATCATCAAGACTTTTCAATTACGCCTGCTCATGTAAACAAATTCTTTGTTCTTTGGAGTATGATTGCATTAAACCATAAATGGCAGGCATCATCAAGACTTTTCAATTACGCCAGCTCATGTAAACAAATTCTTTGTTCTTTGGAGTATGATTGCATTAAACCATAAATGGCAGGCATCATTAAGACTTTTCAATGATGCCTGCTCATGTAAACAAGTTCTTTGTTCTTTGGAGTATGATTGCATTAAACCATAAATGGCAGGCATCATTAAGACTTTTCAATGATGCCTGCTCATGTAAACAAGTTCTTTGTTCTTTGGAGTATGATTGCATTGAACCATAAATGGCAGGCATCATCAAGACTTTTCAATGATGCCTGCTCATGTAAACAAATTCTTTGTTCTTTGGAGTATGATTGCATTAAACCATAAATGGCAGGCATCATTAAGACTTTTCAATGATGCCTGCTCATGTAAACAAGTTCTTTGTTCTTTGGAGTATGATTGCATTAAGCCATAAATGGCAGACATCATTAAGACTTTTCAATAATGCCTGCTCATGTAAACAAGTTCTTTGTTCTTTGGAGTATGATTGCATTAAGCCATAAATGGCAGGCATCATTGAGACTTTTCAATAATGCCTGCTCATGTAAACAAGTTCTTTGGAGTATGATTGCATTACGCCGTAAATGGCAGGCATCATTAAGACTTTTCAATAATGATGCTCATGTAAACAAGTTCTTTGTTCTTTGGAGTATGATTGCATTAAGCCATAAATGGCGGGCATCATTAAGACTTTTCAATAATGCCTGCTCATGTAAACAAATTCTTTGTTCTTTGGAGTATGATTGCATTAAGCCATAAATGGCAGGCATCATTAAGACTTTTCAATAATGCCTGCTCATGTAAACAAATTCTTTGTTCTCTGGAGTATGATTGCATTAAGCCATAAATGGCAGGCATCATCAAGACTTTTCAATAACGCCTGCTCATGTAAACAAATTCTTTGTTCTTTGGAGTATGATTGCATTAAGCCATAAATGGCAGGCATCATTGAGACTTTTCAATAATGCCTGCTCATGTAAACAAATTATTTGTTCTTTGGAGTATGATTGCATTAAGCCATAAATGGCAGGCATCATTAAGACTTTTTAATAATGCATGCTCATGTAAACAAATTCTTTGTTCTTTGGAGTATGATTGCATTAAGCCATCAATGACAGGCATCATTATGACTTTTCAATAATGCCTGCTCATGTAAACAAATTCTTTCTTGTGGAAGAATCAATCAGAATAACAACTAGTACAACAATCAAAAGTTAGTGACTTTACACTTGTGTGTACATAGTGTGTACCTACCTAGCTCAGATAGGTAGGGTTGTTGAAGTTTAATATAATCTGCTTAAGCCATCAAGGGAGAGTTTTAATATTCTCTTTGACTTGTTCTACAATTCTTTCTTTCTATATGGGACTAGAGCCAGGCAATACCTATCTTTAGTATTGCCTTGGGCTAGAGTCATTACCTGATGCTTGAAACATTGCTAAAAGTGGAAGTACAGAAAAGGCTTCAATTTTTGTCTCTCTCCTTTGTTGCTCTAAGTAACTTTAGAAATTTTATCATTCTTTTTGTCTTGACCTACCATGTATTTATGCAAACTCTCTAGGTAGCTCACTCACTGTTTTATTTTGCTTCCCTTGTTTTAATACAACCTGTGTCTCTAGTCCCTCTTTCCTCATTAAATTTCTGCCATCTCTTTCCAACTAAAAGTACCATTTTTCTTGCAGTTTCTATTCCTGTGGAGAATGATGCAGTAAGCAAGGGAAAATACACCTTTGCTTTTTGTATTGTTCTCTGTGGCCAAGTGGTAAGGCACACTGGATCAAATTTCTTAGATACACAGACTGATAGATATAATACTGTCTAATAAATAAAAAAGGGGCATCTATTTCAAATAAGGAGTATCCACTATAATAATGTTCACTCTGGGTATGTGTAAAAAAAATACTAGAAGCATGCCAGGTGTTCATCGAAAGAGGCTATCCCTCTTTCACACTATGCAGAAGTTGAGGTAGTGCATGAAGTCATTTGGTATTTCTCATACAAGAAATCCAAGAAAAAGGTCCAATTTTTATCCCAAGCCATGAAGAACAAGAGGAAAGACCATGCTATAAACCTTTTAAACAAACTCAAGCATCCCTTCTAACTGAACTTGCTTTGGTTTTTCTCAGACAAAAAACATTCTACAAGGATAGGATGGTAAATATACAGAACAACTGTTGGTTTGCTGTGTCCCCAAAAGATGTACCAAGATTAATGAAAACCAAATATCCAATCAACATCATGGTGTTTGGAGTGATCACTAGTGATGTTGACATTATGCCTCTATTTATCTTCATAAAGGGCTTCAAACTCAACATGGAGACCTACATCAAGTGCCTTGAGGATGTAGCACTGACCTTGGTTAAGAGAGTGGCTGCTGGAAGACCCTATTTCTGGCAACAGGACTCTGCACCATGCCACACAAGCATGGGATCCTAGTCATAGCTGTCAGACAGTTTTCGCAACTACATCACTCCTTACATCTGACCATCAGTTGAGTAAGAGACCAAAACTCTTTGTAACACCAAAGCTGAACTGAAGGCTAAGATTATGGCAGTATTCACCAACTTAAACAAGGAAACTGTCCAGAAAAGTTGCAGGAGATTCTAAAGTCATCTGGAAGCTGTAGTGATTTTATTGAATAAATTT